ACTTCAAATACTATAAACCAAAAAACATTCAGCAGCTATAACTCTAATTGCCAACAAATGAAAAATCTAGAAATGAAATTTCCAAGTAAATCTGAGAATTATCTAAAGACTATGTTCTCTTAGCTAGGTATTTTTTTATTCTTTCCACCTACACATTTAAAAATAACCCAAGTCCTACATAAATAATAAGAGTAGGATACTGTGTATTGCTTCTGATTTTACTTATCATTTTAGGGAATGGAATATGTCTGCTTCTTTGAACACCTAATAGACATTTATTTGGACAAAATTAAATACCAAGAATCTGGAGAGCCCCAAATTTAAAGCTGGTAAAATATTTCGATAACTAAAAGCAAATACCTAGAATATATTAAATGATTAGGACAAAACATTGACAGTTCAAGGTCACGAGAAAATGATCTGGTGAGCAAATACAGATACACAATTAAAACGAATCTCGATGAATTAGTGAAGCAAAGAATAAATAGGTCAATTGTTAAACTCACACCATATATTCAAATAAAATTTAGTATAAAAATAAATCTGAAAAATGTTAAAACACTAAGAAAATCTTAATTAAATATTAGGCAAACTATTAGGACAGGAGGGCCATTACAAAATTGTTCACAATAACTTTAACCATTTGAGGCAAATAAAATTGAACAGAAAATCTGCACTATGGGAATAAACAAGTATTAAGTTGTTTCTCAACTACAAATTCTTTGACAGGTACTCACAAAGTGCATATACTGCGAGTCTTAGCACTCCTAACTACAGGTAAACATGACTAAACCAGAACTGCCAGCACCACATTAATTTCCAAGGTTTATAATTTTAAATATTTAGTAATAACTAAAATGTTAACTTTATCACTGATTAGCTTTTCAAAATCGTTCTATCTGCAAAATTTCCATGAAAGACAAACCTCATACAATTTAATTAAGATGTGAACAATATGAGATTCTGTGGATCTCTCTACCCTTCTCCCCCTGACAAAGAAGTAAAACTAGTGAAGGAAAAAAATGGAGTCATGTACATAGGAATGATGAGGTTCAACTTAATAGTGAAAATTCCTGAAGTTGATTAACTAGTAGATTTTAACTGGTTTTAAAAGACCATGGTACTTGGATCACATCAAATGATTGGATGTTGGAACATGAGATGATATTAATGCTTGTACAGTCTTTTCAAGTACACAAACATGCTACCATAAGAAAACAATTTTTGAGAGCAGTCCCTTCCCTTCTTAGATCTTAGAAAATTTTATTTTCAGATATTTGATAACCTGAAAAGGCTAAGAACTTCTAGAGTTCAAATACAATAAAAAAATTAAACATGTCCCATATATACTGAATCAAATCAGAAACTGTTCAGCCTAAGAACTAAGTTACTTAAAACTTATTAAATTCAAGATAAACACAAAGATTCAAGTCAAACACATGTCACCAGATCCACAGAATCTGACAACATACACCCATAAAATTTGGCTTACTATTTACAAACCATGAAGAGAAAACAGAAATATATTCTTTGATGTTAGCAGCTCTAACTAGAATAGGCTTCGAAATATTTCCAGTGGCTCAAAATAATGTCTAGCCACAGCTCAAAATTCAGATCCAGGTAACATCCAAGTCTCAGAAATCTGTGCATTGTTTTTCCTGACCATTTAAAAAATCCAATTTTCATCTATATACACCCAGAATGAATTCTGGATCTTCTTTCATGGTGCAGTGAAAGCTCAATACATCTCCCTAGGAAAATTCTCATCATACTGATATAAATTTATTTTTCACATTTTACTTGAAAAAAATTAGCTGATTTTTACCAATAATATGGTAAAAATAGAGGCAACTATAACTTAAAATTACACAGCTTCTTAATGTTTTATTCATAGCATTCTTTATACATCAGAAGCTTCACTGATATTTAATTTACTGCAGCATCCTGTGGGTGAAGCACAAAATTACATTAATTATAAACAAAGAAACAAAGCACTTTTGACTTTTTAAAATTATATATATATATATTTATATCCAGCTGACAAATTGCATCACAATTATTACTGCATAAAAAACTAAAAATCACCATGGAAGCTAAGGCCTAAGTTCTTATTCCAATTGTTCCCTTTTGTTTATATCTAAAAGATATTAGAAATTAAGATTCCAGTACCTCAAAAAAAAAAAACAAAAAAAAAACCAACAAAAAATCAGGTCTATATTATTTACATACAGTATGGAAAATAAAAGCTGCTTTTTGGCTAACTTAGACTGCTGTTACCTACAGTATTTACATTGTAAATGCCAGGGTGAAAAAGCACTACTAACAAATACCATTATGAGCAGAAATATACTGTGTCTGGAATTTTGTTCTTAAATTAGCTGTATACCCTAATAAATATCTGTTGAATAGAATCTGACTTCGAATTAATCTACTGAAAGTTTGAAACAGAGTATCAGTATGCTTCTTTATATTGCTAATCTAGATCCTGTTAAGTCCGATATTGTAATAACTATAAGCACTAAACCTGAAATGAAACAATGGCAACATGTATAGATGGAATTTTATTTAATATTGTAAAATATAATGCCTTGATATTTAGCCATAATTATGAGACTATCTACTATTCTTTTAATCCTTTAAGAACTCTCATATATATCCCTAAACAGTGAAACCTTTCAGCAACTTACCAGAAAAAAAGTTTGTTATTTTGTTCTTAGAATTATTTTTCTAATATTTAAAAACATTTTTAAATCCTTTGCAAAAACAAACACAATCAATTCAGTGTAACAGACTGAGCTTTAAACCGTACTTTAATTTTCAATAACTGCAACCTACTGGTCAATTGAACCAAATGTAGAATATTTAAATGGCTAACTATGAAGTGTGTCAAATCAATGATAGAATGCATAAAAAAGTGGAGCTAAATTTTGGGGAAGGTACAAGGTGGTTAATGTGAAAATGGTAAATGCTAGTTTTAATAACAAAAATGGTACTAAATGCAGGTGAACATTAAATTAACACAGTATAAAAGAGAATAGCTTAAATAAACTGGGATTCACATATTACAATAGCAAAGTTATGACAGAATGAAGACACGAACAGTTCTGAAAATTCTCTTTTCAGCCTACTTCCAATAGAAATAGTCAGGCTTTTTTCCTGTACATAGTTTGATGCTTTGTCTATACCATATATAGTAGAAAAATAAATTCTTTAGCAACCTAGAAACAGTTTATAAAACTCTTAAAGTTTAATTTTCTTTGCCAGACATGCCAATGTTAAACTGACAGCTATAAATTAAAGCTATATAGACAATAGGTATAAGTAATATAGAACAAGTTAAGAATACTACATTTACCGGATTTTTTCTTTTAAAAATTACTGTACTTTCTTATTTCCTGTGTGCTTTGCAATAGGAATAATAGGGACTTTGTTTTCTTAGAAAAGATAACATGTAAGAGTATAACACAAATAAGATAATTTATAATATACATGTACTTCAACAGCAGCCTGGTTCATGTCAACATCTTGGTTTGGAAGTTTAAAATTGGAAGTACAATACCTAGAACAGAACAGTTGGGAAAGACGATATTTATTTTAGGAAAAAATGGAGCAAATCAAACTCTTAGGAGCCTTGAATCTCAAAATCATCTATTTACTATAATACACATAACCTTAAAATTGCAGTATGAATGAAGATTACAACATTGACCAAAGAATTTTTTCTTTACTACACAAAATATGAGCTAGCAATGAAAAACAAACCTTAGTTTTCTTTTGCAGAAAAAAAGTGGCATGGTTTGATAATGAAAGAATTTTGAATAAAGCCTAACAAAATTTACCTGTGCCACCTATTCTGAAATTTGTATCCATAATTTAGTGTTCTGGTTATGTTTTCACTAGTAAAATGTTTACCCCAAAAAGCAGCAGTCATTTATATATCAACTCTGGTACCAACATCAAAGGAAAATATTGGCTTGAAAATGGTGCAAAAGCCACTTCGAACTTTAGTACAACACATCACAGAAAAGAATATGAATACAAGTTTATAATATACACACTCCAAAGAGTCTGTCAGTACCCAAAGTATTTTTATTGCTATATTAGCAATGGATTTTTGGGATATGTTTTTAAGGGCCACATAAAAATAGATTCAAGGAATAGATTAAATTGAAGTCCTAGATTAAAATGTTTGGTTTAAAGAATTTTCTACAACAAATTTCATGTTTATGTATGAAAAGTTATATAACATTATATGAAAATGTCATGAAGTATTTTCTACACTATACTAAATGTATTCCCCAAGAGGGAAAAAATTAAAATATCTAAAATATATTAGATTAAGATTAAAAGACCATCATTGATCTTTTCAACATGCATCTGTTTACAGAATTAACAGTATACAAAATGTTTATTTCATTGTGGACCATAAAAAAATGAGTCGGTGACAACTATCCTTTGCACATTATCAACTCACTTTAGCCACAAGCATGTCCTTGGTGTGTGTGTAAATGAAATAGGTTCATTTGCCCCTCATCAAATCATCCACAGGTTTTACTCAGAAATAAAGATGAAGGTGCAAAAATGTGAGCTATGTTAAATGTATTTTTTTCTTTCAAACAACATCCTAAGCATGGCATAAGTAGCCTAAAATTATAAAATACTTAACTGGGCTTTTAGTTATCTACACTGACTGCTAGAATGTAAATTAAGTGGACCAAATTAGCACATCAAATAACAAAACCAGCCATAAAGCAGGCTGAAAAGCATTAAATGTTTCATATAGGTGAGTTTTTAAATCATTTAATTTCTATAGAAAAATTTTATTCACAATATAATGTGACAGAAAATGCCACAGGAATGATATACTGATTGTAATAAGGTTACATGCAGCAGCAGCTTTGTATTTTTATAGCTATTTTTGTTTATAAAAATTAAACCTCTCCAGTCATGCTTATCACGTGGTCTTAGATTTATAATGTAAGTGAATAAGGAATACCATATAGTTCAAAGAGAAAATGTCATTTTGAATGTGAATTATCTGTATGAAACATGAAGTATACTACTGAACCCTGAAACATGCATGTCTAGATTTGCTTTTTGTCCAATTCCAGGCTGTTTGCAATCACTTTCTACTCAAATAATACCAAGAGGATCCGTTTGTAATTGTGGTTGTATCAGCTGAGGTTGCAATGGTGGTGGTAACTGAAGTGGTACCATTGATTCCAACTGTCCTGGGTTTGAAGGTGGAGGAGGAGCCACAATGTTCGTGGTTTCTACAATTTCTCCATTGTAAAAGAAAAACTGACACTGCTGAATGAATGTTTCAACAACAGATTGATGAATCTTAGTGGTAGACAGAAACTCTCGATTTTCAAAATCAGGTCTCATCAAGGTTGGCCAAAAACAGATGGATAAGTTGTCTGCTGTCATTAGGTTGATTTTATTTTGCTGACTAACCCTGAAATTATGAAAGGAAAAAACACTTAGAAATCAAAACTCATTATATCTTTTTTGTGCATTCTACATTTAACTAGTCATTCCTCGGTATCAGTGGGGATTGGTTCCAGGATCCCCGAGGAAACCAAAATCCAAGCATGCTCAAAGGCCTAATATAAAATGGTGTAGTATTTGCATATGACCAATGCAATCCTCCTGCATATTTTAAATCATCTCTGGATTACTTATAATACCTAATACAAAGGCTATGAAAAATACAGTATAACAACTGTATTTTAAAAATTTTTATTAATTTGCTTTAATTTTCCTAAATATCTTTGATCCATGGTTGATTCAATCAGTGGATGTGGAATCCGTGGATACAGAGGGCCAACTGTACATTGTAAAACATGAGACAGCAGTAAAAATCTATTTCTTCTGAGAATGGAAGTTGCACCTGGGGTTTAAAAATTTACATATGGAAGCATATGTAATTCGTATGAAAAAAAATTTTCCTCATGTGACAAATTTTAGTGAGTTTCTGGTGACAGAAACAGGAAATGATAATTCCATATCTAACTTCTTTGACTACTGTGAAAGATGAAAAGATAAACTATGGTATGCCATCTCTTTCTACCAAGCTTTGGAAAAATTACTTTATTATAACCCAACTAGAAGAATTTTTAACCTTCAAAAAATTAGTTTCTAGTATACCATAAAACAATCTTTTTGATCTTTAAATATTTTGCACATTAACTTCATTTAAAAGACAACACTCAGTTCATAACACATTCTATCTTAAAATTATTTTTAACAATAATTTACAAATGGTCATACATTATTAACAGATTTGTATCCAGTCCTTTAAATATGTGAGAAATAACTTCTACCATCATCTTCAATAACAAATAAGAAGCAAATCTTCAATGACATCTCAGAATTATTAAATTGGGAGTTTATCCAACCCCCTCATTTCACACACAAAGAAATAATCCAGAAGTACGCAGGGTAAACGGGAACATAAATTTACAGATAAAAAAAATTTTAACTCCAAACCAAAGGAAAATCCCCAAACACAGAAGTTGCTCATCTGAGGTAAAATATATGACCTAAAAACATGTGTTCTGTGGTAAAAGTCATGACTATTTGTTAAAAGAGAGTAAATTAGAATATTCAGAATAAAATAAACCTTTTGTTAAAAAATGTTAAGTAGCTACTAGAGCCAGTTTGGTGTTTCTATGTAGTAGACAAGTGCTAATCTCTGGAAATACCTCAAAGTTAAAGGACATAAGAGCGTGGGCATCAGGACTAACTGAAGAGTCAAAAAACACAAAGGAAAGGTACTAAATCAGTTAGAGATGAGGATGGCCAAGAAACACTTCCTGGAAGAGGTAATATTTAAGTCAAAGGTGATGGGCGTGGGAAGAATGGTGGAATGCAAGGGGAATTCAATTAAAACAGTGGTTCTTTAGTGTGTATCTGAACCTCCTGAAGGGCCTGTTAAAACACTGATTAGATTGCTAGGGAGTAACTTTTGGTTAACTGCTATTAGTTTAATATAGTAGAGCTTACTTGGTGTGCAGGGAAAAAGGAAAGGAAATGCAGCTGAACAGAAGTTAGAGCCAGACCACTTAGTGTTAAACAGTTTGGATTTGATCCTAAGGAAATAGGATGCTATTTAATCAGCAGTGATCTTTACAGAGAGATCTTTTAGAATGATCATTTTGGCATCAGGATCAAGGGAGGATCAAGAGAAGAGCTGGCAGAGATAGAGCTCAACTCAATTACAACGAAATTAGAGGTCCCTGAATGAGAAATGATAAAGTATGAACTAAAGCAGTGGCAGAGGAAAGAAAATTGGAAAAATAATTATGAGAAAAAAACTGATTTGACACTCTCTGGATATGGAGAGTAAAAGAAAACATAACCAAAAAATAACTCCACAGATTAATTTTTGCAACTGTTGCAATTCATGAATTATCCATTATACATCTGTTCTTCTCCTATACTAGAATGTAAGCTCCATGCAATGGGTGACTATTTGGTTTACTGCTGTGTCCCTAGCACTTAGAATACACCTGGCATACAGAGAGGGCCTTATCCAATTACAGTCGAGTATTCCTTTTAAAATTTAAGTCTGATTATATTATTCCTCTGCTCTACTCTCCAGTGGATTCCTATACCACTCAGAGTAACTGAGTGTAAAGCATGCAATGTTTCTTCCATTAAGGAAGCACCCCCTCCATCCTTCACAAAAAAGAATGTTACTTGAACTCAACAGTGTGCTTAGCAATATGTGATTTATATTCTGAAGCAACCACCTTATCTTGTCAGTAAGACATTTTGAAGACTAAGGTTAGTCAATAGATCACTCTTAATAACACTGTCCTATGAGATATGGCACTGTCCCTCTTTGCTTTCTGATCTTTCCTCTCCTTTTTTTCTTTTCATTAGCTATTTATCAACAAGCAACCCTTTTTGACTTTATCTCTTATTATGCCCATCCTTTACTCTGTTCCAATCACATAGGTCTCTTTGCTGTTCCTCAATGCATCAAATATGCTTTTGTCTGTGTTATTTGTTATAACATCAGAGCCAAATAGTTCTGGAATGCAGTAAGTATTTGAAATAATTTTGATGGTGGGCCAGCACTGATTCTTTGAACATGTTCTGTCCTCTTCCCCGTTTTCCCTACTATCTTTAATGAAGTCCAATTCTTCTTTCAGCCAGACAATAATATGTTCACAAACTATCCCTACACTCCATATTGGATAAAGTTTCCTATAGTACCTTGCGTACATCTGTTATCACATTACCAACCACTTGTATGGTATTATACATTTCAAAAAAGGAAGCTGCACTGACATACTACAATATTGTGTATGCTGCTACTTTAGACTTGAGGGAAGGGTTGTAAGAAGTGTTAATATAATTTTATACTGCATTCATAGCAACAACAACACTTTAAACATTGGTTGATATCTCTCTTAAGACATATAGACTGAAATGCACTTGGTTTGGGCCTTGATCTTATTAGTTAAGAAACCAAACTATAGTTCATTAAAATGCCAGTGGAAAAGATTATGAAGAATAGACTTTTGAAAAAATTAATACAAATACTAATAATCCCATTTAGTCCTCAGAACTTTGTGAGGTGTATTATTCTCATTTTTATACTTGAGAATATCAAGATTTAGCAAGGATGAGTAATTTGCCCCAAGGTTACAGAACTAGCAATATTTCAAACCAAAGCCTGTTTGATTCCACACTTGGAGCTTTTTATCATTAATACTGCTTTTCACTTAATAAATGGTGTTGGGAAGAGTATCTTTTTAGAAAAAAGCATAAACTTGAAGCTTAACATACTTAAGATATTTAAATAAGGATTAGTGCCTGAATTTGAGCTTAACAGTCAGGGTGGATAGTAATACATTTCTGATAAAATTTCACTGTGTGGATATCCAAACAAAATAAACAAGATACACACCACCACCAAAGTGGTAGAAAAACAACTTAAACCTCTTTAAGACTTGGAGTCTAGTCATAAAATGTGTCACTTATTAATTAGAAAATATAAGTCAGAGAACCAAAATTGAACCATATGTTTGAGTCCTTTTTTCTATCTTATAATTATCCAATTTATAAAGTTTACATGTTTAAAATGTGTATTTTCTTTGCAAAAAAACCCAACAAAATAAAAATACCTGTTTAGATGTGTTATCACGTATCTGAATACATCATAGTTTACAGGATGAAATTTCTTAACAATTTCTTTCAAGGCATGAAGACGTTCTGTTTTATCTGAGATTTCTGTAAAATTAAAATGGTGAAGAATCAGTGTGAAAGTCATACATTTAAAATTATCTGATAATGTTTCCTGCTATGTTTACTACAAGATATTTGAGAATGTATTTGAAGCTTATTAGGATAGGTAAACAAATTTTTAAAAATGTTCTAAAGAACCTGCTAAATTATCTAAATTAAGAAATCACTTCAACTAACATAATGTATTTCTATAACATCATTTATTACTACAGACTTTTTACAAGTAAATCTAATTATCAAAGATCAAAGTGACTCAACACTGGTAAAATGGGAAATGGTATATCAGCAATTTACTTATGCAATTTATATAATTAGATATTCATTTAGAATTAACTACTTATAAATCTGTTAGGCTCTTAATATTCATGCTATGGAGAGTAAATATTTCAGGCTTTGTGGGTACAACTACTCAATCCTGCGTTGTAGCACAAAAGGACTAATAGTATGTAACAAATGAGTATGGCTATATTCCAATGAAATTTTTGAAATCTGAATTTCATATAATTTTAATGTGTCATGAAATTTTCTTTTCCTTCTGATATAAACAGTATTCTCAGCTCAAAAACTGGTGACAGGCTGAATATGGCCCTTGGCCCATAGGTTTATCCCCACTATAATTACTTGTAATGTACTTTGCTTATCAAAAATTCTCCTTTATAGGCAGTGTAAGTATTTAACATAGTTACTCCCCAAATCTATGCAATTATGAAACAGGATAACTGAAGTGTGGGTCCTGTGATAAATGGGATAAGCCCAATGTGCATACCGTATCATTATGGTAGTATAACCAAGTACCAACAAATTCTCATTTGTTACATATTACTTCTAAATCAGTCCTCAAAAATTTCCTAAGTAGGGATGTTCTGAGGCTACTAAGGTCAAGAAATCAGAAAATCTAAGCTCTCAACTCAACCATTTTCCCAGTTTACATATGGGAGTATGTATAAGGCAATAATACCTTGTGACAATATATTGAAATCTTTTAATTTAAAAAACTGAAAACTTCAACATAATCAAAACTATAATGAAATAGTCTCACTTAAAAAAACCTGAAGACTTATGACCAAAAGGAAATATTAGAGAGAAATATTTAAAATATACATTAATTTTTGCCATTGAAAAACAATGTGAATGAAGAACTAGGTTAACTGATGGTCAAATAGACCTTAGGTCTCATTTTCCACGTAAATGAGTATCTGTTTCCTGGAAACATGTGGATGAATGATTCTGAAGTAGGAATAAACATTAAGCACCCATGTTCTTGCCTTACTTTTTCCAAAAATGACTTACAATATGAGGTCTGCTGCGGACTGAAAGTGTCCCCCAAAGTTCAGGTGCTGAAAACTTAATCCCCAAGGCAACAATGTTGAGAGGTGGGACCTTTAAGAGATGATGGATTAATGCTGTTATTGCAGGAGTGGGTTCCTGATAAAAGGATGAGTTTAGCCCACTTCCTGCCTCCTGCACGTTCTCTTGCCCTTCCACTTTCTGGCATGGGATGACTTAGCAAGAAGGTCCTTGCCAGATGCCGGGCCCTCGACCCTGGGCTTTCCAGCCTCCAGAACTATAAGAAACAAATTACTTTATAATTTATTTAAAATGACCCAGCCTGTGGTCTTCTGTTATAGCAACACAAAACAGGTATAAAACAAGGCCAAAGTAAATTTCTTTGACTTAAAAAACTTTAAATGGACATGTGTGCGCACGCCCCCCGCCGTAAGTTAATATTTTACTGAAGTATGTTATACATATTTCATTTGAAGGGTTTAATTTTCTTAAAATACTTTTGAGTTTGAATTAAAAACACAAACCTCAAACATCTAGTATAATGATCTTCAAAGTTTTAGGAGTATTTAAGTCACCTGGGGGCTAGTTAAAACTGAATATTCTTGAAGGCCATCTCTAAAGATTCTGACTTTATTTTAATTTAGAGGAAAACAGCTTTAAGAAAGAGTTCCAGGAAGCTGAATTTTCTAGTGAATGACACTTACTCTTAGTGAATGACACATTTTAATACTTGGCAATTAATATTCAAAAACTGCCATTATTATCCCTCTCATAAAAAAGAGATTTATACTTACTTGCTGCTTCCAATAGATCTGGATGAAGAGAATATGGAATTAAGGGATCTGGCAGATCTGCAAAGAAAGCTTTAAGAGCTCCAGCTACAGCATTTACTGTTACTTCCATTGACACTAGATTGATATTATGATCTACAAGACAAAAGTAAAATTTTAATTTATATAAGAAACATTTAACTATAAATTCAAGTCTTCTCATTGGCCACTTTTCTTTACAGATTGACAAACTACACAGATATGGGAAAACACAACCAAGCAAGAAGCACTTTTTTTTCTTTTTTTTTTTTGAGACAGAGTCTCACTGTGTTGCCCAGGCTAGAGTGCCGTGGCGTCATCCTAGCTCACAGCAACCTCAAACTCCTGGGCTCAAGCGATCCTCCTGCCTCAGCCTCCCGAGTAGCTGGGACTACAGGCATGCGCCACCATGCCCGGCTAATTTTTTCTATATATTTTTAGTTGTCCAGATAATTTCTTTCTTCTATTTTTAGTAGAGACGGGGTCTCGCTCTTGCTCAGGCTGGTCTCGAACTCCTGAGCTCAAACAATCCGCCCGCCTCAGCCTCCCAGAGTGCTAGGATTACAGGCGTGAGCCACCGCGCAAGGCCAAGAAGCATTTTATGTTGCAATTAAAAATGCTGTTAGATTTATCAGTATATTTCAGAACTTTACTAATATCTATCTTTTAAATTTATTTGGTTTGCATAAGCCATTTAAAAGAGGCCACAAGAGCCAGGCACGACGGTGTGTGCCTTTAGCCTCAGCTACTCAGGAGACTGAGGTGAGAGGATTACTTGAGTCCAAGAGTTTGAGTCCAGCCTGGGCAAAAGAGGGAGATTAGTCTCTAAAAAGAATTTATTTTAAATAAAAATAAAAGAAGCCATAAGGAAATAGAAAGATAAAAGAGACGAATTATGTATATAGGTTGAGTATCCCAAATCCCAAAATCTGAAATCTGAAATGCTCCAAAATCTTAAACTTTTGAGTGATGACATGATGCTCAAAGGACATGCTCAATGAAGCATTTCCTATCTGGGATGCTTAACTGGTTAAGTATAATGCAAACATTCTAAAATAGGAAAAAAAAAAAAAACCCCAAACCCTGAAATCCAAAACACTTCTGGTCCCCAAGAATTTCAGATAAGGGATACTCAACCTGCATAAATTCTAATTTGAACCTTTTAACTTTATTGTTAAAATTTTTATATGAAATGGCTTAAATAGTTATCAGTGAAGTTCCAATTTAAAAAAGAATGAACATACTTAAGGGGATAGATATCGTAAAGTTAATGTGATATTAACAAGTCACTTAAATGTAAAAATATAGACCAGCAAAAAGAAAAAAAGTATCCCCATCACCTAGAGAGAATCACTGTTTATACTTCAGCATGTTTCCTTTCAGCCCTTGTTGGCTCATTTAAAAAAAAAAAAAAGCCAAATCACCCATACATTTTATATTGGATTTCACTTTAAGGAATTATTCAAGGTTATTAAAATTTCACAATCAACTTTCAAGAACATTTTGTTTTTGCCAGGTGACATTTACTTAAAATGTAATTTCAAACTTGCAGAAAAGTTGCAAGAATGGTACTAAGAACTCACATAAATCCTTAACCCAGAATCACCAACTATTAAACACTTTGCCCTACATAAACAATTTTCACAGCTATATAATATTCTCCTAAGATTGAACAGTTTACATAATATTCTATTTCTCAACATTTAGGTTTATTTCATTTAAAAACATCATAAAAATATTACAAAGATGAGAAACACTTGCATGTATTAAAGCTTATTTCCTTGGGCTACATTCCTTGTAGTAACAGCTTCC